GAATCCATTGATATGATTCCAAGAAATGGGATTCATCAATCAAACTGTAGCCCCCTGTGTGTGCATACTTGACCTGGCACCCACTCAGTGTGACCTCATCTTACTCTGATTTCTCTTGCCAATGTGGTTTGCATTATGTGCCACTCTTTGTAATTTAAGTGCAATTACAAATCATACTCACTTATGACCCAGTCTAGAACTCTCGTCTAGATGACAGTATTTTGTTGCTGCAACCAAGGTACCAAGAAAATGAATTTTATCCAAGGAATAACTTTTCGGCAATACCACTCTTTTTTTTAAAGATATGCATACATGTCTAGAGCTCAAAAGACTTTTTTTTGCAACCAGTGCAGGTAACATTTGAAATAATCTGTACCAGGCAAATTTTACCTGTACCACTCAGAAGTTAGGAATTGTGGATCATACTAAAACTGTCCAGTAACCACTGTTTGTCATTATTTCTCTTAGACTTCATAATATGTATATAATATAAACACAGCACATGGACCAGTGCAGGTTACCTTAGGTACATGTAGACATCAGAAATACCAGCACAGATCCAATTTTACCTGCACTAACTTACATGTACATATGCAGGTGGCACTTTGAGCCCTGATGTCTGTTGCTGCTATGAGTCAGTGTGATAGCCCATTTTGGCACAAGTAGTTTTCATCACAGCTTTTACACCATCCTCTTGAGAGCTTGAAAACTATGACTTCACAGTGGTCGAAATACTTTTTTTCAGCACTCTGCAATATTGCAGAAGAGTCAAAATTTTGTTCTGCAATTTGGAAATACTTTCTGCAAATACACAAGCCTCCATACTACAATCTTGCAGGTTTATAAGCATGAACTATTGATTAATATGCAAATTAGTGAAGACAAATGTTTGGAAGTACCAAAAGAAACAAAAGATAGACAAGTCAAGACAAGGTTGATGCAAATTAGTGAAGAAGCTCCTGTTGTTTCAGAATAGGAGCTTCAGTGTTGTCTGTCCTTGGGGCCAAGAGCGCCAAATCCCAAGTGCCAATTTTTCCTTCTGCAAAATTGCAGATTGTATAAATTTTTCTTCTGCAATCTTGAAAATCTATCTGCAGATTGCAGACTGCAGACAGGTATTTCGAACACTGCTTCATTTCTTTGGATGGTCAGCTCTTTTGAAAAGAACGTATTTTAATGACCCTCATGATGTTCAGGGGTATAAAATGGCTTTTTGTCAGAAAGGGCTGATGTAGGCACTCAAGCCTTTGTTGAAGAGGGCCGTGTGAGAAGAGCTTGAAAACCTAAATCCAAGCCAGAACATTGGACTGTGTGAATAAAGAAGTGCATCAATTTTGTTTGACCTGTAGCACATCATGCTAGCAAGTAGACCCTAGAAGAATAACAACTGAGAAGTCTCAATCTTGCACAAGGAAAAGAGTAAAATTGTTTTATGCGCAATCAACTAGCACATGTACGTAAACATAGTCTGTCTTAAACCTGGACCTGATCTTGTTTAATTGCTTGGCATTAAGTAATCTCTTGGTTTCTAGGGTCGTTATGCTTATACTTGGCAGTTATCGTACGGTTGGTGACATTTGGTTAGACTTGGCCTGCAGTCAAAGTGTCAAAATCAAATTATAACTGGCTGTGTTTTCATCCAGCTGAGCCCTAGAATTTGTTTTTTTCATGGACAGATTTCTTCGCATTTAGCGCAATCCTTTGTTGCTTTTTACGTATCTATAGTATAAAGGTCAGATGTGCACAAAACACTTGATTGACACTGACCCCTTGTTTTGCAGATGGTGATGGAGTTCCAGGATGGAGGATTTAGTATGGACTACCACAACGTCAAGCAAAAGGAGTTAGACAGCTTTCACCAGGTCTGTGTGTCTTTGATTAAATCATTGATGTAAGAGTAAATTCAATTTGACAGTGAATGCATATGGTAAGATAGGCTTGTAGCTAGTGCAAGACAGATGACACAAGTGCACATGTAGGATGTTTGTAATTCAGTCCTAGGTGTGTTGCTCACAAGTCTAGCTTGCATTCAACTTGAAAGGGTAACTTGTAGTCTTTTGATTTGATGTTGTAAGACATCATCTGCTCAATGTTCACTACTGGATCTGTTCATTTACTTTCTGGTCATAACCACTGAGTCACTTTTCAGTGAGCTAAACTGGATTGAGATTCATTTTGATCCTCACAATATGTTGACATGTTGCCCACTGTTAGAAGCTGGATGTGCTGTCCAAGGATGAGCTGGCCGTGGAGCTCATGGTGACCAGCAAACAGCTGTTCCGAGCGCTGTCCCAGCTTGTGCCGTGTGTGGGCTGTCGGAGAAGGTTGGCGTCTTTTTCCTTGTTGTGAACATTTCATGTTGGCATGTACACAAATAACAGTACTCGTGCTGTTGCACTATGCTGTAATTTAGAATGACAACTTGCAATGGTGTGCTGCTCTTGTTTTAGCATCCTCCCTCACACTCTGACTTAATTTAACAAAATTTGTTCCGTTTGCAGCGTGGAGAGGCTGTTTAACCAGCTGGTGGAGTCTGGTCACCCTGCCATTGAGCCTCTGATCGTCACCCCCCACTCTGTACTGTCCATCAAACATGCCTACCTGTTCGACCCGCGGTCCGTCTACACTCTCTTCTACGTGCACGGGTAAGTCAACACCTGGTGTTCTGTAGTCTTTCTTTATTTAGGAAGAGTTGATATCTACACAACTAAATCTATTGAACTATATGCCATACTACTTAGAGATACTTTAGCATGATCAGTGGCATTTAAATTAGCTGCTTGTCATAACCTTACTTAAAAGCACCTGTGACCTCTTTTGAGTGAAAAGAAGCTCTAAAAAAGATAATTTATGATCCATTTTGTGATCCATGTGTTCTCTGATCTAGGTATATAATGTGAGGATTTCTTTACTTTTCTTGTAGGTCCAGGCTCCAAGACGTGATGGAATCCATCCCGAAGAGCAGCAAGAAGAACAACCGCTGCCTGCTGCACTCCTTGGACACCCACAAGGCCAAGCTGACTGGGTACGCCCCACCCCCCTCCCCCCTTAGCCATAACACGTTCTGTGCCAAAAGGCCATCTTGGCAGGGAGAATGTTACACATGCTGGACATTTGTTGGCTTATTGGTAAAGGTCGTCCGGTTTTGAGGCCATAGGGGCAGTGGGTTGTTAAACTAATGTATCTAGGGCAGTGTTGGAAAGCAGAGCCCATCCCTCTCCTCCCACTGCCTTTTGCCTTGCTAACTGAAGTTAGGTGCCCATTTTACACTTGGATGGCATGAGGAAAGTCATTTTAAAGTGCCCTTCCTAAGGACAGCCAGAAATGCAAGGAATCAAACCCATGACCTCTTAATCTCATGTCACCTTAGCCACTCCTCCATTCAACATGGCGTTGTGTGGCGTAATGGTAGGGCATTTGGCCCGAAACCCATGGGTTCCACTTACATGCCCCAACATTGTGCCCTTAGGAAAGACACTTTGCACAACCTTCTCCCAACATGGTAGTTACTGCAGATTTCTCAGCAGATGGGCATTATTGGAAGAAGAACGTCACTATAAGTTTTGTTGGTTGTTGACTGATTGTGATCCTTTCTCCAGGAGCTGGATTGACGTGTGGGAGTTGTTGTCGCAGGACTGTCGGGACGAGGTGGTGCTGATCAACTGTGAGAGCCTACTGGAGACTATGGAGACCTACCTCAGGAAGCACAGGTAAACAAGGACATCCCTCACTACAAAAACTTTTTGAGGGTGCCTTTTGAAACCAGGCTCTGGACAGTCCAATGATTGGGTTTCAAAGGAGTTGACCAGTTCTTCTTCCTGGAAGACTTTTAAACCAGGTTTAGGCAAACACGATTAAAAAAACCTAACACACTTACCAAGAAAAGAGTTTCGATGACTCAATGTGCTTGGCTAAAAACCTGAGCTGTAGCAAAGCTGCATTGCACTAGTAGCTACTTGAAAAAGCATCATGCTTCACCGCAGTTGAGGTCTTGCGGATGGCAAAAGAAGAAGGAAAAGAAAGGTTATGCAACATAAGGAGCATTGCCTACCACTTACTTGTTCCTTGACTGGATGTGGTCTGCAGTTTGGAATATCTTTATCCCGTACAACCATGAAAAAAATCTTTGTCGTTTTCCAGGTTCTGTACAGAGTGCAAGTCGAAGGTACTGCGTGCCTACAGCCTGCTGACTGGTGACATTGACTCCACCAATGAGAAGGGCTACTGCGCCACGCTATACGAGGGCCTGCGCTGCTGTCCCCACGAGAGACACATCCACGTGTCGGGCGAGACCGACTTCATCGCTCACCTCATCGGCAGAGCTGAGCCCGAGCTGGCAGGAAGGTTGGTTAAATTTTCAAAGTCGAGAAGGCATGCTGATAAAGAAAGCCTTAGTATCATGTTGGAAAAGAAATTGTTAGTCAGGGACTAAGGGAAACTGAAAAACCAATTGTGTAAACTGTCGTCTATCTGGTCTTAAGTTTTCTGATGTCTTATTTTAGAGGTGGGTTTAAGGACAACTCTGTTGGTCTGCTTTGAACAACATCCTCTCTGCAAGGTAACAGAAGACCTGGAAAACCATGTCTTCTGTGTTATGCCAGTTATAATAAAAAAGAGTATAGATAATTGCATGTTACTAACAGGGTATGAAATACCAACCCATAAGCAAAAGGTAAAATTTTGGAACCTACTATTCTGAAGAGAAAGAAAATCTTACTATTCGCATTACCAATTTTTTTTGGACTAATCTTATGGAAGGTTGTACAAAATTGCAGGTATTTCGTACCCTGACTTGTCTTTTTTCCATAGAAGATGGCCACATTGGATCATCCCATGTTGAGGAAAGTCTGCCAGGCTTTAATGCATGAGGAAACAAACATTTCTGGTGAAAAAGAGGGGGCATTTTGTTACCAACCCACTGACGTTGTTATTAAACCCTTTACCAAACGGTAGATTCTCTTCCAGCCGCCGGGAGCGCCACGCCAAGACGATCGACATCGCGCAGGAGGAGGTTCTGACGTGCCTGGGGATCCACCTGTACGAGAGGCTGCACCGCATCTGGCAGAAGCTCCGCGCCGAGGAGCAGACCTGGGAGATGCTATTCTACGTAGGGGTGGACACCCTACGCAAGAGCTTTGAGGTGTGTGTGACCGGAGACTTCTCTATTCCATTACAGTGTATTTCGTAATGATATGTGCAGGGCTCAAAATATTTGTTACAATTTTGTGCACCCAAAATTGGAGCTGTTCACCTAACTTTTGTCTGTGGATGCACCAAGATATCTGTGTAGGGCTATGTACTATTGTACCTAGTTAGTATACAGCATGTTCTTGACATTTAAGCATCAGAAAAGTAATAAAACCTTGCTTTACTTAACATTTTGAAGTTAGCTATGAAATTTGAGTTTATGGCAGTTTTGTCAAAGCTTGTATTCGTGTTTGGTTAGGTGACATTTTACATTGTACCTTGTTTTATGTTGTGCACCCGATTGTTTTTTTTTTTTGTGCACCTCAAGTTAAAATTTCAACACAAGTATTTTTCTTCTTTTCTCCCCAGATGGCAGTGGAACAGAAGCAGGGCTTCACCCAGCTGGAGCAGCTGTGTCTGGAGATCAAGGAGGAGGAGCGCGCCCGCGAGCTCAAGCAGGAGAAGAAACGTCTCAAGCGCAAGAAACGCAAGAACAAGAACGCCACCGGGGAACGGGACGAGAAGGCCGAGGACAAGGTGACTTGTACTGGGGAGGAGGAGAAGGAGAACTGCAAGGTAGGGGAACCTGTATGTAGGAGACACCTTGCAGGTGTCACGCAAACTGCAGGTGTTGCAAACTCTAGAAGATGGATTTAAAAAAGGAGAGCTGCTGAAAGTAGCATTACATTGCAATAAGAGCATAAATGACCCTCAATGATAGCATTAGAAGATTTGCTTTAGGAGGCACTGGGACATGCATTCCGGTGTTCTTCAGGAGTTAGGTACACAAAGTATGCTTTGTTTTCTCAAATCACTGTTTCATTTATATCTTGAGCTCTGAAAACAATGGGCTAAGTATTTCCACGTTGACCCACTGACTGCTATGTTCCTCCCCTTCAGTGTAATGATGTGGATGGGAACACTAGTTGCACTGCCAATGGCTTCAGTGCAACCTACGACCTTCCGAGTGACGACGACGTGGCGGCCTCCACGTGTTCCTGCCCGTCCACGCGCCTCCACCCGCCCTCTTCCAAGGGAAACTCGTGTAGAAGCTATCGCAGCGACTGCGGCTACTCGAGTGGGGTGGAGGGCAGCGAGAGTCTGAGCGGACACAGTTCCAGAGACGGGTCGGACATCGCGTGTTCTGAAGGCATCTGTAACCATGGGTCCATAGGTCAGTTGTGTTTGCCTGTTTCTTCTGTGTCAGTCTTCTCTCAGTATATTTGCAAGGCTATCACAAGTATCAGTGCTCAACATTCATGTAGTACTAAGCATAGACCGAGAGACCTAACCGAGGGCCTTCATGGGGGGTAGTGATTACATATTATGCAAAATTCTTGCTGCCAATTACGAATTACTTTAAAGTCTCAGAGCTGAATATGAACAACTACGGCTAAAGGACTGATTACAAATTACGATGATTTTGGGTGGCTGCCTACGGATTATGAAGACTAAAAAGACTTGATTACACCGTACAAAAAAGGGCATGCAGGCCCTCCTAACTATGTTCTGATGATACTCTATCCAGGTGACATCAGTGGAGAGCCGTGTAGTCACTGTGAGGAGTTAGACGATCCCGGCTGTAGCGACTGTCAGTCCAACTCCAGCTCCGGATCCTCCCCAACCTCCAAGGTCGCCAGTAAGAAAGCTCAGGGCAAGAAGGCAAAGAAGAAAGCAAGTGAAAAGGTAAAGAGAGTCTGTCACAATTGGCACCACTGTATAGAAGACAGGAATTTTTCATTGTGCTTGTCAACAAAAGCTTGACCAAGTTCCATTATAGTGGGTCAAGCTTGGCGAAGTTCCATTATAGAAGGTTAGACATCCATATAAACAGTACTCAAGTCAAGTCAAGTCAAAGCCTTTATTTTCCTTCGAATGCTTGTTCGGCGCAAGGCCGCTTTTCAACAAGGTCGAAGTTGAGGGGAGGGGTCACGGATAAGAACCAAATCAATACAAACATAAATAATAAGTAATTAAATCAATACAATAAGTAAATAAATAAGTTCACAAATAAATCATTAGGTTCGTAGCCAATTCAAGTCCATGGTGAGTCCCAGTTATGTCTGTTCCATAAGTGACTTGAAGGTATGGATGGATGGTGCTGCCCTAATGTAGGGCTGGATGTTATTCCATACCACTGAGCCGGAGTAAGCCAAGCTTCTTCTGTAAGCTTCCAAGTGCGGCCTCGGAGGGATGAGACAGTCAGTAGAAGCTGATCTGGTATTCCGTGCCACTTCATCCCTTCTCAGGCTGAAGACTCGTCTCATGTATGGTGGTAGTGCATTTCTCAAGGCCTTATACACCAGCAGAGCTTTTTGCTGTTGATGTATAGTCTTCACAGTCTTCCAACCAAGGCGCGATAGGATTTCTACTGATGGTGTTCTATATGGAGCTTTCAGAATAAGTTTTCCCACCCGGTTTTGGATTCTTTGCAGCTTGTCGTACTGCACCAAAATCGCTCCATCCCTCACTCAGAAATAATTCAAAGTCTACCGCTACTGGATAAATTACGGATATTACTTACGGACATTTTGAGTGACATCCATGCCTTCTTCAGTTCTGTTAGTTCATTTTACTGACTCCGAACAGTGATGGGTGTCATTCAAAACAGAAGTACTCTCCGTGATTTATCAAGTTTGAATCATCTATGAGTATGTTGTTTGTATTGTACCAAACCATCGTCTTTTAGCCAGTAGATGAGTGGCTTCTGGATAAGCTAAAATGTGGTCCCTAAAAATTAAATTATTTCTTTTTTTTCTTCAGAAATCTGGTGAAAGTAAGGCAGGACAGGGCCTGGTGAATGGGGAGAGAAGGATGCCACCTCCCTCCTCTGCTCCTCCTGCTTCCTTGGGCTGGCAGAGCAGTCTACAGGACATGCTAGAGGTACAGCACTACACTCTGAAATGCTCTCGCAATCTTCATGTCTTTAAGTAGCTTTGCCCCCTATATACCCATAGAGACCTTTTTTTCCTGGGACATGAAACTAGATACCCTGATGTACACTTCAAAAAAGGCTAAGCCCACGTCAAGAGCTGACTGCTAGCCTCTTGATCTCAGAGAATTAGGTCAGCACAATCGTAAAAGACAATTTGTGAAAAGGTTGTATTTTGTTTGAAGGATCATTTGAAATCTCCTGATTTCAGTGTTCAACAGAGGATTTCACGGTTATGAAAATGTCATAAAGGGAATCCTGTGATTCATACATAATGTATGAAAATTTATTGTTGCTTCTTCCACAGGAGTCTTGTCCATCAGAAGACGAAGACTTCATCTCAGAAGAGGACATCCAGCTCTTTAAAGCCAACCAGAAGCACCTGGACAAAGAGCGGGAAAAGTTGCGGGAAACACTGCGGAAAAGATTTGACAGCTTCCAGCGTCGAGAGTTGGGGGGCAAAGCCTGCTCCGAGAACGCCTCGGCAAAATAGTTAAAACCTACAAGCACTCGATAACTCAAAAATCCAGTTTCTTACACTTCTAATTTCTTCCTGTCAATGCTGCTAGATGCCTACTACAATATTTCCTATGAAATTAAATCTATACTACAGCTTCCTATGCCTGCATTCAAATCAAATCACCTAAAATGGCTATTCAACAAGAAATCACTGGGAATGTACATTTTTTCTGAATGGGGATGCTTACTCAGAAAACAGAACCAGAATGTTACAGATATTGGAACATGCACATGCGTAAAAGAAAGGTTTACATGTGAGATAGGACATTACATTTGTTACAGATGGATAGAGTGAGTGCTACAGCAGGACATGACAGTCTATAGTCTAGAACATAGTAGAAGAGACCAGGAAATAGGTATTTCACACATGAGCTTTTATCATAGCTAAAAATGCATGCCTTACAAGTCAACCCGCTTCTCTTCCATATTCTATCTGCTATTGCAAAACCAAAGAATCTGGTGCTGACACACAATTACAACATCTTACTAATAATCAAGGAAAACTGCTTCTGAAAAAAAGTGTCTTCTGCCGTAAACATTAACGAAGACCTGGACCAGAGAACTGTCAGGTTTTTCAAAGGAACACTTTGGATAATTGGGTTTGTCCCTTCAGGTGGTGATAAACACAGTAACTGCCTTTAGAACTGAGCAAAGAAAAGGAAAGTCGTAGATAGCAAAAAGTACAGGACAGTACATTATCACAGTGATGTTTTATGCTGCCTGGTACACCCCTCGTTACAATGTGGAATGACCCATAATGCCTCATGTTGGACTGTTCCATGACAGTTGAGGGGTAGTAAGGTTGAAGGTGTTGGGAATTGTGCCAAAGGGCAAAGCATGCCTTCACCAGGAGGGGCAAAAGACGACAGAGCCCTGCGCTGTTAATTTGGTCCTGGAAAGAAGTTCTAGATACAGAATAACTCACAGAATGAATAAAGAATTATCAAATACTAAGCCAAATGGTATGTGACCATGTTTCTCATTGTGTTTTGTCTCCTGCATACAGCCTGTTTTATGAGAGACGTACCATATTTGAGCAATGAAGTTTTCAAGAACAACTTTCAAGACATGACTTGTAATTTAAAATTAAGCGTTTTTTTAAGACGTATGATTTGAGAAAGTACTAAAAATCATACATCAATTTACTCTAAAGAAACTGAAGGATGTGGTGTACGTAACGTGTAATGTCCTTGATCAGTCATTTATTGGTGAAAAATGAACAGAAACGTTTTGTTTATTCCTTTCAAAATGATCCGGCGTGACGAACAAAAGGATAAGAAAACGTGAGGATGTAAACATGTCAGCTTTGGGGCTGCGTGTTCTCGTTGCGTGTACATGTAGTAAGTTTGTCACGTACGTACACAGACCTTGCTCAATTATTTACGTCATCGTTAGGGTCAGAATTTTGTTTACAAAACACGATGTACATGGGTTGGAAGTTTTGGTAGAGAGGGACAGTCGATCACCTAGTGACCCAGCTGCGAAGCAGGTCCGACCTTGCAAAGGCCTAGAGCGCTCTTCCTTCCAACATATACGTGAGGAGATCGTGGTGATACGGTTATCCTGATAAGATAAAGGATAGATGGAATAAACAGTGGATACATGAAATCACAACAGCACAGTTCGAATTACCATGCTAGTAATGAAAGAGTCGCCGTTTTAGTTTGGTTACTAAAAAAAAAAGGCCGACCAAGAACTTCAAGAAGACTGTTTAGCCAGCTGCCCAAAATTGTAGAACAAAATAGTATCGCTGCTTGTTCTGCGCTTTTAAACTATATTGTATGTCTACCAAGTTATGCTGTTTTCTGCTTGTTTCGGGCGCTTTTCTAAAAGACGGGCCTGTTTAAAGATCTTGAAAGACGTTCAAAAAGAACCAAACGACGCCCCGAAGAAGTCAAATCTGTTTGGAGATTAGCATAACGAGGAATGCGGCCAGTTTGTTTTGGATTCCCAGTTGTCCTAAGCATGTTTTCTTCGGCCATCTTTTGCCGTCGGTCCTGTTTACCAACAGTCAATATTTAGTGAAGTCTGTGTCAACCCTTTCCAGGTGACAAGGGTCATACCAAGTGGAGCGGGTTGGAGGGGGTGTCAATCTTCTACCCAGTGCTGAGTATGTACATATACGTGCTCTATGTGGCCAAGGAGGTTAAAATCAAGTACTAGTAGTATCTGCTCGAATCTTCCAATGAATATAATCCATAGGAGGCACCGGTCGAAAGGTAATAATGTAAACGATCTGCCACTATATCTAAAGGATACTTAAACAGCTATCCGCACAACAACAATACATTGTCATTCCGTGGGCTTCACCAAATGTGGACCAATAACTATTCATTCAGCACCAAAGGTGGCACAGTAGAGAATGAAGAATCCCTTTGTGCATTGGTTGATTTATGATTGTTTGTCGAGATTTCCTAATTCGTGAGCGGATGGGACGATATCCAAGGAAATGACGTCATACGCATTGTGTACTTTCGCTCGATGGTCCGATTACCATAGAGAATACATGTATCTTCTGTGTAACGGACAGCTTCTGTTTACAAATGTGCAAAAACCTGTTCATTCCATCCAGGAGCGGCTTTCATCTTTTGAGAGGGATGGTGCGGGATATTATTTGGCAATATGCGAACGCCATTTGCAAAGGAAAAACAACGTTATAATGCGAGATAATGCGAGTTTCGTGAGAGTATCACGCATGGCAAAACATTCCTAGGAGCTAAGGTGGAACCTAAACAGGATGATCAATTCCCACAGGAACGTATTCGCTGCCCATATTAGGACCCAAGGTGCTTTTTGATCATCATACAGACAGGTGCATTTTGTCACTTCTGCTTTGCACACATTTATAAATCGTACGTATTCCGTCGCACCCTTGAATACAAATGGGCCAAAATCTCCTGATCAAGTGGACAGCTAGCAAAACCAGGAAACAAGAAGAATCATTATAGAGCGACATCGATTAATGTTTGTTAATTACAAATCTGACGTATTTGGTATTCAGGAAGCCAGGAGGCTAGGACCGGACCACCCCTGGGATCCTGCTGACGTGGACCAGTCCTGGTTGTTATAGCAACCGCCGGGGAGACCTCTGACGTCATTCTTTTGGCCGCAATGTAACTTGAAGCGGATCTAGTACCCGTCCGCCAGGCGAAGTAGGTCCAGTAACGGTCCACGGGGTTTTGATTTATGCACTTTCCAACTTTAATATTCAAAGAACAATTATATAGATAACTGTTAAAGAACCCAACACATGCCATCATCACGATGTCCATTGATAGTTGCTTCTACACGGTGTAAAGTGTACATGCGGCTGTCATGGTAGTTGATGATATTTGACTTTGAAAGTTTCGATGAGTGAAAAATAATTAAAAAAATAATGGACACTGGCACAAGTTACTGGATCCAGTGGGATTGAAAAATTATAGTTTCATACTTAAAATTTTGAAAGCTGTGATTAAAAACAGGATGGATAGTAGTATAATTAAGGAAATAGCCGGCTACAACTTGAAGGAATTTCGATATTTTGAATTTTCCAACATGCGAAATTGTTCTTCATTTCAATCAGGTTATAGGGAGAAACTCTTCCTACTTGACACATAAATTTTTAAAAAAATTGTAACTTTCAAGACTTGATACACACCTTTTCCCGCTCGATATTTGATATGCAGGCTGGCACTATTTTCCACTACGCAAAACTCTGGCATAATATACGCAGAAAGCACGTGATCGGTTCTGCATAAAAGCTCAGCACACACGCCCATTGCACTTCCGTGTCTTTCGTGGTGCTGCCTTTCTTTTCAATTGTACCAAAAGTTTTGAATTTCAACGTCAAAACGCTTACGGTGACAGGGCAAGCTCTGCAGCGGCCAGCTTTGTTTAATGTCAGGTCAGGTGAAACACCTGTGATTGATGTACTTTCAACTGCATGAATCGTATATAAAAACAGAGAAATGCAAGCACGGAATGCTGATGCAAACAGTACTTTTAGATTGTAAATGAAATGGTACAAAATAAGCCTGATATATTGCTGGAAGTGTCTTTTTTCAAGCCAATATCATATCTGCGGGCACTCAAGACCGCAACACTTACGCGTAGTGATCTCCTCCGTTGGTTCCGCTTAAACCCGGAACTATTTCAGAGTTGGCGGGCGCGGCCATCTTTGATCAGAAAATTTGTAACGATAAACTTGCAGCTTGAATCGATTCGAATCCAGCCCTTCTTCCATCCATCCACCATGGCTGACAGAGAGGACGAGGTCTATAAAGCTAAGCTGGCAGAGCAGGCTGAGCGATACGATGGTAGGTTACCTTCCTTCCTAAAAATTCGCCATCAAAGTCAAGCTATGCCGAATACTTCCTGTTCTGCCTGATTTGGGCATCTGCAGAGAAAAAGGTGTGGCATCCTATCGAGATATGCAGACATTTCAGCACAGGACGAAGCCTTTCCCATCCGTCGATTTCATTCTGTAGCATCTCCAAAGATAACTGAGGGTAAAATCAGAGCTAAAGGAAGGCGGAAATCACCGCTAGCGGGCCGCCATCTTGAGCCCCTCCCAACCTTAGCAACTGAAAAATCGTCCTCATGATGACTCATTCTCCAAACGTTTTCCCGCATTACGTCGGTGGCTCCGTTTAGAAACATCACCAGACCGTTATTTTAGCCCCTAGCGTATTTATTCTCTTATAAAATGCCGCTATGGATGTAGTATTTGCTTCTTTGCCTTGCTTGATGACCGTCAGGATAGTTGTTAGCTACCTGCATCCGATCTGGATTCGATCCAAGTTCATCCGTAGGCGAGAGCAGATCGGACTCATCATCGGGTGTATCCCGACAGGGGCAGCAGGGCGACACCCCGTCCGTCACCGCCGTTTTACATGCTCCTATAAATCATATATTAAAACTGTCCATAAATCTCATCACAAATCAACGCAAACCAACGCGTAAACAGTGCAGATTTTGACAGATACGGTTCCAAGGGGTAAAATTGAAATTTTCGCCCGTCCCACCAAAGTAGGCAAAACATGGAAGGGAAAAAGCTGCCAGGTTTTGATCGATAGTTGCACACACACCATTCCCAATTCAACTCCGATTAATAAAGCTTCCAAATCAGTTAGCATTTCTGCATTTCCGGTGCCAACAGTAGGCTGTTTGCTTCAAGCAAAACATCGGATGACATTTATGCATAAACCCGTCTTAATTTAGGGTGAATATCTCTTAATTAGCATAGCCAGTTAACATTGGCAGATAGCAAAAACTCTTATTATTATTTCAGGAGTTGATTCCAACTTAATTAACAGAAAGCTGAGATGATGAGGGAAATGTGTGAGAAAATTTCCTTTCTTGTCCCAGTCTTGGTCCCTTATCTGAGGGTCTTGGATATTCCACATTCTGTACAGTCCTTAGTTAGTATCAAGTGCTATGTCTACATACTTGAATGTGCTTTCTTCCAGACCATATCGTCTAAATAGAGCCATTGTACAGCAAGTTTTTTTTATGTTTTCACCAGTGGTTTTCACGTCTCAGCTAATCTTTTGATTAATTTTTTAATGAATACTGTAGATCATTAGGAGATATGTGCAGTTGTAAAATGGTATGTTTGCCACAGTATCAGCAATTTCAATTCACTCAATACTTAACGATATGTATAAAAATGTCAAGACTGTTGTTATCATAGAATGTAGAAGTGTATCCTTGCTGTATGGAATATCTGAATTTTTGACTTAGATTAGAATAGATGTATGCTGGCAATATTGTCATAATGTGCCCCCAAGCCTTGCCCAGTTGTAGTAGTAATACATGTTGTTGTAAATGTGAACTTTGGAACGCACTTCTAACTAGTGCCAAGTACTAGAGGCCAAAGTACACTGTTGACACAAACTGCTGCATTATTTAGGTGTTAACAACTGCTTTGTCCAAGGTACTAAAATTTTCATTAGCATGTAATCATTAGTTAATTTTGTAAGTCACACTCTAGACAATGGTACGGTTATTATCACTTAATGTGGATGAATAGTAAACTATACCTCCTTTTGGATAAGAACCATAGGAATCAAATCCTGTAGGTTACAGAATGTTCATGAGATGATTTGCCTAAAGCCTATAGGCTATACACCGGTGAAAGTACCCACATCACCTCAGGCACTTCATGTATCCACTTTCACTATCTTTATTCTTCATTCAACATGTACATGATGTATGTTAATTTGCTTGTTCTAGGATACAATCAAATACTACCTGTGGCCATTATTGTATAGCACAATATATTTTGATGTTATCATACAATGTAGTCGAGTAGAATTCAGTCCCAATTGCTATATATACCAAACAAATATAATGTAGAGGGCCAAGACCTGTTTTCAGCAACACTGTATCTTCCTGAACAGTGTTATCCAAAATACAAAGGTCAGAGAAGAAACTGCTGATTTCTAGAGTATAGAATACACATTATGATTTAGAACTGGGCTGTTCCAAACACCTTCTACCCCCCCCCCACTAACATTTTTTTCACACCAATTCCATGTCATCATTTATTGACATGGAATTGGTGTGAAAAATACTCAAGCAAGCAATTAATTTCTAAATGTTTGGACGTAGCCAACCATCTTTGAATATCATGACATTTGGCCTTTGAAGGTGTGTGACTACCTGGGATGATTGATGGCAGCTTATGGAAGAATCCAGAAGCAGAAAAATCACGAAGAGACAGCACGATATGCAAATTGGGATGCTGCTGCTATACTAGACATGCTACATGAGTCAAAGTATGATACAGCCAATGTCCAAGATGTGTATCTGTATGCTGGAGACACCATAATTTCTATTGTTACATATTCATCCTTACTTCCTGTGGTATTTGTTATTTCCCCTGTATTATCCCATAGCAAATGTATGAGCCCTCTCTACACGAGTTATGTAAAATCTACTTAACAACTAAAATGCTGTATTCATGGTTGGAAATCTGGAATTGGTCCCAGCGAGCACGAACTCGTGAGATTTTGGAAATTGTTCACAAAAGACTCTTGTTACCTTAAGATTTGAAAATAATTCATTTCAAGTATAGCTATGAATATGCCTACATGTGCATCATACTATAGGTAGATTCTGTCCACAACAGTTATATGCAGTAGAGACAATCACCATGAACATGTGACTTACTTTGCTGTTTGTTTGTGTCTTGTTAGCTTAGTTCCTTTTCAAGAACATGTGTTACGTTTCCCAAATGTTGCTTAAGTGCCTTTTTAATATGCATTCGAGTCAGACAAATCAGGAAGATATGGATAAAACCTGGAACATACAGATCTACTTATGTATACTATTATCCCAGTCATATTATGTATGCAAAAAATAGGGGACACCGAAGAGCATCATGTAAAAAACAAATATTACTGATTTCCGCAGAATTTTTATCAGCTTCCATTTAGCTTTCCTCATCGGCTGCTTGAATCAAAATCAGGTATATACAGATCCAGGTAATTTTAAAATTTACGGATGAAAATGCATGTGTTTGAACAAATACAGCTATTAGCCAAATTGAGTTTGAGCCAGCAATCTTCTCTTGGAGGAGTTAAATCGTGTGCAGAGGCCTTGAAAGTAATGGGCTATATTGCAGTCTTTAGTGTCCAGCCTGGCTTGCTATGATCAAAGTAAACTGACGGCGTGATAGTCATAGTGTAAGTGATGGTGTTAGGCATCGAGTCGTGACTAGCATCATTACCGTATTAGGACAAAGAAGAAACTAAAAAGCCAACATTTGTTTTTAGGGAATGCATCCCTCCCCATCTTTTCCAAATGTGTTATCCCAAATGCATACAGAAGAGAAAATGTGGTCTTCCAGAGGGTGGAAAATATAACAGCCGTACATGATGGTCAGGGATGAGTGTAGGCTGTTCCAAACATATTGCGTATCCCCCATTAAGGTGTGGTCCATAAAATGTTTCTCCAGCTGTCCTCATACCAAATATTAGGATGAAAAGTATGTAAATTATCATCTCATCTGCATTATAAAGAGATAAGTACTGTCATTACTTGATGTGGAAAACTATGTCACTTAATAGTTACCTTCACCAAGGAGGTTATGTTTTTTTTATAGTTCAGTATCATTGTGTTATGGTGTTTTTAATTTTTTGTCTGATGAGATATGCACAGTTGCACAACTGAATCACTTTCCTTTCGGAATGCTCTGTTGTTACATGGGGCATGAACCAACCTTACTAGTTACTGTCTCAATTGTGTATACACACCGGTGAAGTGGACTGGAAAAAGGTAGATCATACAATTCACTAAGGATAACAATTATGTATCCTAGATACGAACATACACTACACAACTGGCCAGTATTGTTTGCTGAAGTATGGCTTTGTGTCAGTAGGATCAACAAGGATCAAGATGCTCTATTTTGTCCAACCTGCAGACTATTTTGTCCAACCTACAGGCTGTTACAATTTTGCCAGCAGTCTAGTTACATTGTCTGCAATGACAAGATAGTACTATACATATTGTAGGGACAATTTTACCTCTGTGTTAAGCCTTTAATCAGAGCACTGGTGCAAGTAAAACTGCTTCACAGAGTGATATCTTGTACAATAGACATGGTGGATAACAATTTGCTAGGAATACAAATACTGTGCCGTTCTGTTTGCTTGTCACAAACATCTTGCTCACGCCTCAGCCCAGAGTCCCTAGCCCTGTGTGCAATCCAAACAATGAAGATTTTGAAATAAAGACTAAACTTTAAGTTTAACCTTAACACAGGAATGTATTGGGACTTGCCCAAATTTTTGGCTGAATCCATCAACCTTGTTCATGGAATGGACCCGTCTACTCTTGAAACGTGACGTCATAGACACGTGACCGTAGTAGCGGGTTATACGTGCCAGATAACTTGTGTCGCCCCCCGTCTCTGTTCAGCGTAGGTCTGTGAGCTTTAATGTAGACCACCTCCTACACCCCTCTTGCAAAGAAGTCCGGTTCAGAATTGAGGATTTCCACAGAGTCCCGGAGATTCAATAATCAATATGAATATGTTGAGAGACCTCTAAATGAAGGTTTTGTGAAAAATATCCATCTAACATCCTTACCTCCCCTCCCTGTACAGAAATGGTTGAGGCCATGAAGGCGGTTGCGGAGCGGAACACGGAGCTGAGTGTGGAGGAGAGGAACCTGCTGTCGGTGGCGTACAAGAACGTGATCGGAGCCCGGCGCGCCTCCTGGAGGATCATCAGCAGCATCGAGCAGAAGGAGAAGGACAAGAACAACGTGGAGAGGGTGGAAAAAATCACGGAGTACAGGTTGGCGGTAAGGCCTAGCTGCAAGCACCACCTTGTCTTACACCACACCAGCCGAATCAGTTGTTTCTTGGATGGGCTCTTGAACAAAATCCTGCTTCTGATTCATGAAGAAATAACTGTACAACTCTTCCTTTGCTTTTGTTTCACTTGGCTCTGGTTTACAATTTTGTTTCCTTTTTTGAGTTTGTAGTAAACTATATCAACAACTTGCAAAGGTCACAGCTACAGATAAACTATCATAAACCACATATTGCAGGATAGAGAAGAGAAAATCCAAGAAGCAACCGATTAAATTGGTGTGGCCATCTCTTATTCTGTGTGCATGTTCAGACTTCACATGTCGAAAAGTAAAATTGAGAGATTTACTGGATTGTGGTATGGCGTCTTCTTTTTTATTTCTTGTTGTTGACAGAATATAAAGAAACTTTTTTTAACGTTCAGGTGGAGCAGGAGCTGAAGTGCATTTGTGATGACATCCTCGACGTCATCGACAAAAACCTTATCCCTTCAGCCACGGCAGGCGAGTCCAGGGTCTTCTACTACAAGATGTAAGTCTTCTAATAGCTTTGCACTGGTCCACACCATTATCTTATTACTTACTGTCTGCATATTCTTATATCACTTCACTATCTAGCTAAGCACATCAGAAAAACATACTACACCTGTGTGAAAACATTTTTCTTAGGATGTTAAGTCAATGTTGCATCATGTCACAATAGCAGTTGCATCAGAATTTTGCCCGTTACAGATAATGTATTTTCTAACACAACCTTTGAAAACTATAGAGTGGATGTCCTCCTTGATCATGCAAATACCACATTAAAAAGAGACAGTCTGCTGGTTTGCTATTTAGCTTCATTTTTTGAAACCTATATCAAGAGACCAGTTTACAATAGATGAAGAAAAAAGTAAATTTTGTGTTCTGTCGCGCCTACAGGAAGGGCGACTACCACCGGTACCTGGCAGAGTTCACCAAAAGTAACGACAGGGCAGCGGCCGCCGAGAACAGCCTGCTGGCCTACAAGGCCGCCAACGACATCGCCATGATGGAACTGGCGCCCACACACCCCATCCGCCTCGGTCTCGCCCTCAACTTCTCCGTCTTCTACTACGAGATCCTGAACTCACCCGACCGCGCATGCCGTCTCGCTAAAGTAAGCTGGTAGATAAGTACAGCATTGAACAGGATGTAGTAGAGGGGATTCATTCCTTAAGCTAACCGACATCTTGCACACGCAGTTGTCCCTCAGTAAGACACCTAGAGCCACATAGTTCCCGTTAAGAGCTTTTATTCAGCCTGTCACACAGCATTGAACAGGAGCAACTATCAGAGGTATCATGCATTTAAAAGAAAAAGGCCTAGTTCCTCAAATCAGACCAGGATCTTGTACTGATGGTACCCTTTCCTGTAAAAAAACGGTTAGAATTCAGCAACGAAAATTGCCTTGTTGCTCATTTGGCCATAGAGATATATGTTATCATACTTGAGCAGTTTCAGCCTCTTACAGTAACCGGAAGTAGGTCAGGGAGTCTTTATTGAACCACCCTCGTAGAACATTTCAACATTGTAACCAATGCAAGTTTAACACACTTCTGAGACACTTCTGTTGGACAGGCGGTATTCACAGTTTAGCGTGAGAAAACAACTTGCCTGCAACCCGTCTGGCTACCAACCAAAACCAAATATGTAAATAAAGGTGGCCAATGTATGTCTGTCTTGTCACACTCACAGGCAAAGAAACAGTAACAGTTTAGTCTCGCGCATGGTGGAATTTCCTGGATGAAGTGTCCATAGCAATAAGAAATAAATTGGCTTCTGCCAAGGTATCACTGTTTAGGATGGGATGTAGGATTTATTTGCTTGGTGGCTGCAGTTGGGAAGAAAGCTGCTAGGGGCATGACCCTATCTTGTCCAAAATTTCTTCATTTCTTCCTTAGGCTAAGGCATATCACTCAACAAACTTCTCCAGACTTTGGTGCTTCCTATGTGATTTCCAGCTACAGTAAATTCATTCCTGTGACATCCTCTTGAATACCAGTTAGGCCGACAAGACATGTATATGTCTGACCATCCCCACACCCCCAGTGACACACACCAAGTAGAGACAGTCTTACTGCCATGTAAGGGGAGGCTTAACTTGTCACACCAGACATGGCATGCTTGGCTGACAGCTGTTTGAAATGTTACTGGTAATGCCTGGAGCAGGGTGCAGCGCTTTATCTTTCAGCAGGCATAAAGAGCCAAACAGGAGATAAGAATGTCAACAGTCCACTTGGAAATGTCTCATGCTGAAAGAAGATACCCGAAAGGGAGTGGTAGTTAAACATGTACAAGTTGTACCGCATTGTCATTGCAAAGAAGCAAACACAAATCAACAGTGAAATGACAAGAAGAGATTAAAATCACTAGCATTCTTATGTCCTCCAGAACTGGTCCCTTGCTCTTTTACATTTATAGTATCTGTTCCTTTGTGCAAGTGCCGAGGCAGTTAAGATCAGCCCTATGTGGCATCACTTGTTGTAATGGTCAGATCAGTTAGCCCAGAACCAAAATGTCCCGGGTTCAAGCCCCTGACATGCTCAATGTTGTGCCCTTAGGAAAGGCACTTTGCAGGACGTTCCTAATTGTATGGTGGGTTGATACTCACCAGGCCTTTCAGCCAATCGTTGATACTGTGTCCAAACACTGATGATACAGAGAGGGATTTGGGTTGCCAATGTGCCAAGATCTGCAAATCTGCCACCAAGAACTGTAAACGAAAGATCAGCCCTATTCCTTAGCCTGTACTCGAGGAGAGCTCATGGTTGTTGTTGTTTGTTTATTTGTTTGCAGGCTGCATTTGATGATGCCATTGCAGAGCTGGACACACTGAGTGAAGAGAGCTACAAGGACTCCACACTCATCATGCAGTTGTTACGAGACAACCTGACCCTCTGGACATCAGACATGACGACGGACGGTAAGGACGATGGTAACACAAACTCGCTTGTTTCGGGCTCCAAGGACCCACCTGCATGTGTGCATGTTTGAGATTGTAAAAAGAACCATAAACAACTTACGAATTTAACATTAGTCTGATACATAACAAATGTACATGACACCTGTAGGCTTGACTTTTGTTAAACGTAACTACATATGAAGTTGAAATATTTTGGAACTAAATCGTACTAAATGTCACGATGCCATTAGAAAATTTGAATGTGCATTTAACATGTTAAAACATAGGCTAACAAAGTGAATTAGTTTCTCTAATTACTGTAGGGTTTGATTAATTGAAATATAATCAGTATGAACGCTAACTTGACTGATATATTGCCAAAGAAGTTCAATTGTTCAGTAGTGGTTAACATAATTTCATTCTTTTTTCATGTGAATTTCAATTGCTTTCCTGTTTTCCTATTTTTGCGGTGGTCCCCCTCCTGTTTTTGCGCGACTGACGTGCTGTTTCTGTCCTGTTTTTGCAGGTGAGGGAGGAGACAAAGAGCAGGTGCAGGACGTAGAGCAGGGAGAGGACGCCCAATGAGCACACTTTGCCGCGTCACTCTGCCCCCTTTAATTTGTGTTTAGATCTCCCGACAAGTTTAGCACACACTTTCTTACTCAGGCACCAAGCCTTGTACGAGCCAGAGGCAGAAAATAGGAGAGAGGGGTGTCAATCAAAATGACAACCTTGTGGCACGTGTTGGTCACGGATGAGACACCAGTGTCACTTTAGAGAACCTAGACTCATAGTTTCCCCCCAAAATTCAATTAGAAGACTGATTGAAAGGAAGAAAGAAATAATTGAGAATTTCACGTAATGTTAGGATCGTCTGCCGTGAGTCTATTTCTCCACAGACAGAGATTTCTGTCCTTCTCAAAGCTAGGGAAGTATCATGTCAGTTTTCTTCTCGCCATGATATATATTGTTGTTTTCGTTTAGTGCACTTATTCCCTGTACTGACCGATTTTTTTGTCATCTGGATTATGTCGTGGGGAAAATTGTTTTTTGAATGTGTCCAAAACCCTTCTTGATTCTGTAGTGAGTTAGCATGACATATTTAGCTTCGAGATCAGAGGGTTTCTCTGAATACCACGGCCCGATGCGGCCGTTAGGAAATGAGGTTTTGTGTTTGCCTACTATCCTTCAATTTAAATTATGATACCATGAGTTTGCTTCCAATGTTGCCATGTAGTAGTACTAAGCCCATGTGTAACCAGACGACACATAACGCGCCGTGTTTCAGTTCTGCAAAGGTACTGGCCAAAATTCCACACTCAGTTCTGCCGACAACTCAGAGCAGGTGATCCTTTACTAGTCCTACAAGCTGGGCTGCCTCTCGGCTACGGACCTACTCATCTGAACTAACTACCAACCATTTAATCCATATCTCTGAACCCTCTATCTTAGAACTGATGTAGTGAGGTAGGCTTGTTATGTGTCTTTAAGTTTAACGTAGTCCAAAAGCCAGTCTTGTAGTTGTCATGTCTATATTTACGATTGGAGACAATGATTGTTGATTTTGAGTTTCATGAGTTTTTCCCTTCCATGTAGTCAGTAAGTCACTTGTATATGAGTGCCATCAGGAACACTGTATTGCTGCAGAACATACAAAGGAAGAAAAAAAATGTAGTACCTTGTGGGGTTGAATATTGTGAATTGGCTGCCGTTAACGCAGCTCTAGAAATCTACCAAACATTAACTGTGTCCGTTCTAGACCAGTCAGTGACAACCAAAATTCGCCTGGATATAAAAAATGGTACTTTCATCGCTTTGTTTTTCCTCGTCGTCCAGTCCCGCTACGCATAGACATATCATGGGCATTACATCATTACATTCCGAAAGTTCCTTGTTGTGTAGTAGCAACTGGTTGTTGGGTGGTTCTCCTTCTCTGTGGCGCTGTTTTCAAAGGTTTGGCATGGCTCTTATATGAGACAGCAGACAATGCTGAAGTTGACTTTCCCTATGTGATAGCAGACAATGCTGAAGTTGACTTTCCCTATGAGATAGCCTGAACTGAAATCTAAAGGCTTTGGGGTAGTCAGAAGTTGTCACGGTCTCTGGTTGAGCCTGCCTTGGGAATGGAAAGCCAGAATGCTGTCTTGAACATCATGTCAGCTTCCATTTGTTAAGCTACTTGCAAAATTGTTCTTTGGAAAGGCAAAAGAACGGTAGACATGACTGTGATAGGCCCCTGACCAGTGTGCCGCAGAAGTGAAAACTTGAGGCATGAAATTATGGTCAACACCAAGAGAGGGGAGATTGTTCAAAGAAGTTGATTGCTTGGGAAAAGTCAGTAGCACAACAATTTTGGAAGATGACTGGTGTAAAATCACAGCCTGCTTTTTGAATTCCATGTCAGGAAGGAGGCAGTTTTATCACTCGCCTTGTACGATCAGTCAGCAGCTCCACCTAGTGGTTTTTATACTAACTGCATGTGTTGGAAGTGCAGCTGTTGTGCAGGGCAAGAAAGGTGATATTTCTGCCTTGTGAAGACTGTTCGAATCATTACGTATTGAGAATTGAAGGGATGGTCGGTGCATGAGTTGAAGAGAATCGGTAGTTCTCACCTCGCTCATGTCAGCAGCCATTGGAAGTGGGAACACCAAGGGGATCTATGGAAACAAACGATAAAACAACCCAAGAAAATTCCAAAAGCGAAAAACAAGTAGGAATCGGCCATTTGGGACGTTGAATTATAACTTAGTGTTATTACTGGATTTGGAGCCTTCAGTTGATGGTGCTAAAAAAAAAAGTGATGCGTAGTCCCCCACACCCAACAACTGTTGCCTGTATATCTAGATTTGTATTCAAGGATTGTACCTTTGTAAACTGATGTCATGCTTTTAACATTAAATTGGTTGTTAAATGATGCAACGCGTCCTTGGTCTTAATTGTGTAATAACTTCTAACTACAGATCAAACACAGAGTTGCGGGTCATGTCTTGATGGTTTATTTTGTGAAGAAAGCTGCTGAAAAATGCCAGCCAGCAAAGTACTCACTGCACCCTCTCTATGTTCAAGGATGTACTGCAGTACCAATCAATGTTGCTAGGTGGCGCTGTGAGACCAGCAGTTACATTAAACCTTGGTATCTGGTGAATACAGATATAACAGGGTCATGCATGTGATTCTAAAGCAATTTCTCACATTTCCTGAAACTATTCTTATGAATCCTTCGTAACAAAATTTTGAAACCCATGTAATGTTACTGCTCTTTACTTGGAGCTTTGATGTACTTTGGGTTTCATACATCGGGTTTCCTGTCAACTTTTTTTCCCACCATTTTCATACCCATCTGTCCAAACCATGTTCTTTCTTTCTCTTGAAAGAGATATTCTCGAGTCAAACAGTGGACACACCACAACACTTCACAGTTCATCATATTTATTTACAAACACTAAACACAAAAAAAGGTATATAAAACACATCTGTACAAGAAGATAGCAACCTTGACCACTGTACAATACGTTTATCTCCAAGTAGATGGGGGTAATATTTTCTGTCTACCCATTTTCTGTCACCCCCCAAAAAATGTTAGATTAACTTTTAATCCCTTCTTCCAAAATCTGCTTGGAGATTACATTAGATCAACAAATATTGAGTTCAACACTGTCGTGGTAGATAATCACATACAGCAACTTGTTAATAATGACAAACATTGTAACCTTTATATCAATCTTGAGCATATGTGGCTGTTGTCTGAGGTATAATTGATAATTCTTGCTTAACGTTACATATACATTGTCCTCAAAAGCAGGCTATGGTTGGTGTTGATATATATACAACGTGTGAGCAGTTTTGCTTCTAAGCAGTTTCCTGATTGCTGTAGCACTGTTAGGCAAGAGAACATGGCAGCCTTCATCACAAAAAATAGGGGACAAAATCGTTTGAAATTGCATTCTTGCCACATTACACAAATTTGATTCTTGTGTACCCTTTGTGTTGGAATAAAGTTTAGCATCATGATTACTACCAACACAGATCAACTTCCATGTTACTGGACTAGTTAGAAAGCCTGCTGTAAAGGCTAGAAATGCTATTAATTAACAATGGCTTTGATGAACTTGTGGCTCAACGTTGTCAACTGACTCATTATAGCTTAACATGGCAAGTACACTGTATCAACAAAAATACTCATTGACATTTACACAAACAATTTTCTTACTTAAAACACAAGGTCACTGCAGTAGTACCAGGATCATATGTATGTTGGTCGTTCTGGGGTACATACAGTCTGTTCCCCACATTATAGACAATGTAACAATGTAAAATATCTTAAAATTCCTGTCAATGATCATTCTTAAATAACTGTCTTGCAATATTTGACATCTATTTTCCACTTGAGTATAAGTCACATACTCTTTGTAACAATGTCATCACACAGTTTGCTATAATCCTATAATTAACATGTAGTACATTATATCATACCACCACACAACACAATATGACAATAATACATTGCTATGTGATGAATTATATAATCTGTTAGGAACCAACTCACACATAAAATTTCAGTGGTTTTAAATAGCTTGTGACATAAAATCAAATTGGAAATCTGAATACATGTTAAAACATAGCTCTTTTTTTATCTAGGTATTAACTCATAACTAAAACATAGGTTCTCTTACACTAAGTTAAAACATTCTAAATATTGTCATGTACACATACTTCCTCTAGATCTGTGCAGGAAACCTGTATGCATGGAATTGAGAAATCATAGATTATGTTAATACAATATGTTAATACAATATGTTAATACATCAATTTCTTGAGTTTACAGACTTTACAATGATTTTGGATTTTCAAATATTAGGCAACAGATCTCTAACCCGACTTAAATCTTTTAGATCTCTATGGCTCAACGATTCGGGACGGATCCACGATACACTTAATGAAGAGACAGTCATCCACGATGTACCCTCGTGTCTTGAGGGTCTGGTGTGAGACAAACTGCGGGTAGCCAAAGCCGAGCGACTTCTTGTCGTGGTGGCTGGGCTTCTGGAAGTGTTTCCAGGTGGGGTCTGGGATGAAGGACTCTGTCAGGTGTTCCCGCTTGTTGGTTGGGTCTCCCTGGTCCATCACCATGAACGTCATCGCGTGGGTGAACGGCCACTGCAGGAGCGAATCGTACTCTCCCGGCAGCAGGCGTACGTAGAGAGACAAATGCGACCCTTCACCAGAACCGTTACCGTTGAGGAACACGGACAGAGACAGCTTGTACCCGTGCTTCCCTGTAAAGAAGGGAGGGCTGACAAGTTCACAGTTGTTGCTGGCTTTGGCTTCCTTGAATTTGGCATCAACGTCGGCGATCTTCCACAGCAGCGTCCCGTCCTGGTTGGTGGTCACGGTCTGGAGCTGGTTCCTGAGTTGCGAGATGTCGTTCTTCTGTCGGCTGACCAGTTGGCACATGAGTTTGAGGTGAGACCCGCTCTCCTGTTGTAGATGTCTGTCCAGGGAATTCCGGGGACACTGTGGAAGTCACAAAATTAGAGATTTTATTTCATAGCCAGTTCACATCATGAGATTGAATTTTTTCTTTTGAAGACAAGCACAGTGAATCAACCAAAAATATTGGTTGAAATTATATTTTCTTTCAGTGTAAAGGTTACATATACTGTTTTTCCTGATTTTTTAACAGTACATACTTTAATGTAATTTTCACTGCCACTTCTGTAAACTTGTCTTTAAAGCTAACGAATCGTTCATCTTCCTCCCCCACTCTCCTCACTATCATGAACATATCCCGTAGTTCTCTGAACGCCTCCATTTTTCTCAGGCTGAAATTTTGCTACCGTGAACATAAAATGAATTATTGCATGATAATGCAAAAACCATAAAAAATAGCAGAAGCAAAAACATTGTCTTCTGACCTTGTGTTTACAGCCAGACTCGTAGAACGGGCAGACGACCATGGTGGAAGGGCAGTTGTCATGGAGATGTTGTTCTACCTCCTCCCGTGGGATCTTGGTCGGGTCACAGCGGTTAGGACAGCTGACAGGGAACCTGGGACAGTTGTACGAGTGGTCCTGAAGGGGAGGGAGAGAAAAATGTATCTTAAAATTAGCATAGTAACACTAACAAAGGTCCAACGGCTATAGAATCGTATACTATTTTAAACTGAGTAGTCCATGAACAGTGACAGATGCTTCAGTTCACATCTGCACCACAAAATCAGGAGTGATACTGCTTTGTGTGGAAGGTGTGAAGTGTGGAGGATTCCCTTACAATAGATGGTCCTGAGGATAATGTCAGGTACATCTATCACCCAGTGTAGAGAGATAACGAAGTAGTCATGTCCTGTATCTAATTGGAATGACAAAAGGCAAAATGCACTGCATGTACATGTACTACCCTCAACACCTTATCAGTTCTAGACACAGATACACGTATCTATATTTCTATCAATCCATAACAATACATGTCAAGGCAGAAAGGAGAGCATCTTTTGTTAACATTTGCCCTGCTGCCAAACCAATAGAGCATTGATTGGTAGCCAAATAGCTAAAGCTTAATTGACATCATCTTTTACTGTACACTCAGCGTAAAGTTGAAATACATGTACAAATGTCTGAAGTCAATTAGATTATCCAAGTCCCCAGTGTGTTTGCAAGCTTTCAAGGTTATTACAAGACCTACCGGCAGAGTGTCGTAGAGGAACTGCTTGCTGCAGTGCGGACAGGGAACGGTTCTCTTGGCACACTCGTTGACAGTGTGGTTACTGAGGAAGCGGCGCAGCATGCGGGCTCCACACTTGTTCTCACAGTACACAGACTCCTGGGGGCAGTTTCCCTCGTGATGCTGAAAGGAGAAAGGAAAATGTACCTCAATCTAATAAGCTTACTAAAATACTAGTCTTCCCCTTGTTTACAGTTAAAACTATTCTTCCAACACAAGGGATCGTTCTAACCTAGAGCTTTCGACCAGTCACTCTGGTCTTCTTCAATAGACCTTTGACCCAGTGTTGACATCACACTACAGTGTTGACTTCACACTACAGAGACAAGCCATGTGACAAGACTCATAGGGTCAGGTTACTGAGGAAGACCACAGTCACTGGTCAAAAAGCTCTAGGTGAGAGCAATCCCTTCTTTTGGACCTAAAGTTTACTACCAACACAGAGGAACTTTCATGCTGGTCTTCCCCTTGTTGTAGCAAGAGAGGACAAGGAATGAAGAATGCAGTACTGTAAAGATCTGCCAGGTGGCATCAGTAAGCAGAACTGTTCCAGCTAACAGTTACGTACCTCCATTCTCTCCCAGGACATGCGCATGCCACAGAACTCGCACTTGCACTGTCGGCGAGAGCACTCGTGCTCGAGGTGGTCGTCCAGACGGAGGCGGGTCAGCAGGGCGGAACAGTCGTTAGGACACTGGACAGGCGTGTACTTACACGTTCTCAGGTGGTCCTGTAACAGATAAGGTCATGAGAACACTGTGAGCTGTGGTACTCTTTGTGTTTAAACATACAGGGAAGTATAGCAGACTTTGACTAGCTTGGGTGCCATCCGATTTGCAGCAATTGTCAATTTTTGGAGGGGTTGCCATTACAAATCTGATGGCTTTTTTGGGGTTGCCGTTACAAATCTGATGGCTTTATCGGGGTTGCCATTACAAATCAGATGGCACTCAGGCTACACTTTGACAGGATTTGTGTTTACATGAAAGCTACACTCTACCTTTAAAAGTCAAACATGTTTTTGTTTTTGTTTTACAATAATCTGACTGTGTTTCTATCAGTAGAACCACAGGTTTGACATTCTACAGAGGGCTTAAATCATGGTGCTTAACCTTACAGTAGCACAAAAAGATACACCTGGCAATGACCGTGAGACCAAACAGCTGGGACTCTTTAAACCTTTTAACCTCCTCTCAACAGAACAAGGCACCGGCAATCTCCCTCTAATCCTGTGTTTGGGAGAAAGCCGACCCCCTGTGGTCAGCTCTAAGAGCTCTCTTCTGTTCAGGACACGACATTGATCTAACATTGACCTCTAGTGCGACCTCCAAGCCTGCCATTAGTCTAAAGGCCATCTAAGGTCTCCCACCCCACCATTAGAAAAATCTACTTCCCTGACCCTTTTCCAAGGCCATGGCTCAACACAAGTCATACTGGCAGGGTGCTAATGCTCGCAACTTCCACCAGATAGATTGCATTAGAGGTAAGGGATACACAAAGGGTCCAATTTGGCAATTGAGAATGGAAATCTGGCGCAAATTAATTCCCGAGTGAAACATATGTATACCAAGGTCACAAGATTGGGACTTTAATAATGTTACTTGGTACTTAATTGCACAAAAGACGGCTAGCTTGGCAATATAAATCCCCTTGTTGTACTGTTATTTCATTTCATGTTGACCTTTCATGATAAAGGGCACATTATTTCATACTTTGTTCCTCCCTTTAGGAATTAATTTGTTTTATGTAGTCACCACAGGTAAAGATCAAATTGAATCAACATTTTATAGACTGTTGATTTCAGTTCAAATATACATGTATATGTCAAGATATATCAACAAGAAATTAAAAATTAGAATCATTGGTCTGTGAATTTTCTAACTCGAAAATCAAGGAAAAAAGGCCTTGTTTAAAATAAATCTACATAGGGAACATCTATATCCAACATTATGCCCAGAACCGGAAAATCTATATTGAAACCTGTATTGTACAGCCTACAACTCCATGTAGACCCCATGAGAGAAATTTAATGGACACGGGTCATTATATTTTTTATAACCACCAATAACCCACCATCGTGCCAATTATAACAACTCCGGAAGACCCATATTTTCACCTAACTCGATATAAAACTGCAATTTACAATTCAATAAGCATTAGCACAAGTCCGACCAGGTCACTGGTGTCAATCCACACTTCTTAATATCCATACATGTAATAAATCCCCCTGCTGAAAATCAATTATATTGATCTAACCCTTCTTTTGAAGTGACAACATATTCCCAGATGGAAAGGGGATAGCAGTGCTCTGTTGTTCAATGATTCATCTGTGAAAGAATTGTAATGGCTTCAAGGTTGCAAGGACAGATTTAGGGCAAACCCTTGGCCAGACAGACATGAAAAGAAGTTTTCAACACACAATAATGTGCAATTTGTCATGTAAATAACTAATGGGGAGAAATTCTCAAAATTTTGATACCTTTCTGATGATACATTTCTGATGCATACAAACATTCACTTATCATTGTGACACATCAGTATCACAATGATAAGCTCTCTTGTTTTGATTTTTTGAGGTGTTATGCTGTGGTGTGACTAACAGTTACAAACTTACAATGTACTAAAGCATTACATAGGGTCCTTGTCTCATGTACACGGCATATTAGGGCCCGGTTGTGATCAGATGTGGACGGTTGTGGTGTTTAGGCACACCCAATAACGGGTGTGCTGTCACTGCACATACCTTATGAAAAAAAATACCATAAAGATTGGACTACTTTTCGCCTCAGCCACCACACATGAAACGGAGCATTTATCTGGCTTTTACAACTGTCACATGTGCAGTGACATGAACTATCCAGTGACAAATGCTGCCAACACGGTCTAGCGACATACAATATTGTGTGGTAGATTGTCCATAGCACAACCTTTGCAGAGGTAATCATGCGTTCCAAGTCTTCTTTACGCGCAGGATTCGCGGGAAATGAAGAATCATTATCGCTCTTCCTCACACAGGAAATATTTCGCTGGAACGTGTTTCTTTAATGGCATACCATGTCACTGCATGCACTACAGGTATGTGTGCTGAATAATTTATTGAGAAAAAGGGATACTGTACGGATTCCTACAAAATTCCCTGCATATTGGGTAATCTTCTTAACATAGACTGACCATTATGTGTTCAACATGTTTTGAAGGCAGTTGAAATACAGAGAAAGGTAAAATATGCCAGTAGCGTTACATCTTGTACAAAGCTGACGTAGTCCATCCATATGCTTGTACGCAGTGTGTCTAGATGTACATTTTAAGTATGCATACTGGATTTCTCTTGTGACAGTTCGAGGTACATGTAATACCAGCAAGGTTATCAGTTGTTCCAGTGGTTTAGCACTAGTAGTACTTGGAGCAGGGGAAATTATTAAATCCATCACGTTTGAAAGGGTCAAACTAAAAGACAGCATTTTTACCATGCCAGTGGAAAAGATGGAAACTAAAGGGCTGTGTAGGCAAGTGACCCTATCTTACATGTTTCTTTAGTCATCTCCAAAGTATTCACACTGGGACTTTTTTTCCTCTTCAAATAGCACACGCAAGGAATTTCAGATATAGCAAAGGAGACACCTTACGTGTCTTATTCATTCGAATGACGTCTATGTGACGTGCATCAACAGAAATGGAATGCGTGCCTCTTCAACATTGCATGCCATTGGCTAGACCAGGTATAGCTGCGTTAGCCCCAACATGTCACCGGCATTCCATGTTCCATTTGTCTCTGAGGAGCCCATCCACAACAAGATTAACGACACCATTATGTACTACCTGACATCCCACCCTACGCTGTACACACCTGCCATAGCTGATAAGTCTTGTCTGAATTATGTACGAATCCCCTCGGATTATAACAATAATGGTGACAGGTGTATACATGGTAAACTCTTAAACCTGGATGAGTTGTTTGTCGTGTGGGAAGGATTCTTGGAATTTTCGAGAGCTCAGAAACATGCAAATCATCGTGAAAATGTTGATAGGCTGGAGGATGCCTTTGTCCCGTGTGTTTAGTTCTTTTACATATTTTGCATTCTTGGAAAATAGCAGAGATGCTAAAATGGAAATGCAACTCCATAAATCAGTTTTGGTTAAATTTTCTGTCAGTATTTTCATACCAAGACCCTCAAAGCAGTCATGCTCAACTGAGGTGAAGCACGATGCTTTTTCAAGTAGCTTATACTAGTGCAATGCAGCTTTGATATAGCTCGTGCATAGCCAACCACTCCAGGTCACCCCTACTCTTCTCGATAAGCGCCAAGAAGCAACAAAAAATTTTTTTTTGTGTGTTTACTTACAACTGGTCCACAAATGCCTTTACTTCTTTTATTGGACGGCAAGTGGTTGTGTGAGAGACATCTTTATTCAGTTTCTCTCAGGAGAGATATTTGCTGTTTCATGGCTGACTGAATGAAACCCATAAAAACATCTACTGAGATCTTCCTGTCAGTCTGTCTGCCAGAAGACTGAATATAAATGTGAAACAATTAGGTCAAACCTGCAATTGCTGTGGGCAACCCAAAATGTATTGTTCTTGTCACAAGAATTGAGGTTTCTGGGCCACATACAATTCCGAAGTCAGCCTTCTCAAAAAAATTTAGAGTAGGTGGCTGATAAGAAAAAGTAGCAGGCGAGCCACGAAGTGGCTCGAAGCGAGCCGCGCAGCGGCTCGCAGGGGGGAGGGTACGGGAGGGGGGTGGCCCCCCCTCCGGTTGGGGGGGTCCGGGGGGCCTCCCCCGGGAGGAAATCGTAAAAATTGACCCCTAAA